TGCAGGACATGGTGTGGCCAAACATAGCTAGTGTGCAGTATATGTAGATCAGGGACAGGGCTGATATAGGGTACTGATGTCCCAAGGGATTCCAGGGGACATTTCAGATAATAACAGACATATTGTGAAGTGTATCACAGTTGAAGGAATACTTTAGAAAGACAGAGATTAAAAAAAAAACATTACTGGTGTATCTTTTTTATGGTATTTGCACCTGAAGAGGAGTCTAGTAGTGAATCATTTCTTGTGCAAAATTATATGTCACTTTTTACCATCATTTCTTTTTCTTTTATTTTCTTTTTTGTAATTGGCTTTTTTTGTTTTTCACAGGGTCCAGCAGAGGATGAGGAACCTGAGATGGAGCAGACGGTAACAGAACTGAAAGCAGCAGCAGCAAAGCGACTAGAGAAGCTCGAGAAACTGGAAAGTGGAGAGATAGAAGAAGAGGATAGAGAGAGAAAGAAAAGAGAGGCACTTCAGGGGAAAGATGAGGAAAGTGGGGGCATAGATTGGGGAATGGGTAAGGCCAAGACTTTTTGTTCTGTTTCTGAATGTCCTTATTGATATGTTTTTGTGACATAGGATGACTCTTGGTTAATGTCTTCATATAACTATTGCTTTAAGGAATTCCTTTTTAAGGAATTCCTTTTCTTTGTCATTTAAACCCTTTTGTTAGTCTTGGTGATATAATCATGCCAATATCATTTTCAGAAGCTGAATTGCAATCAGTGATGTGGATAGTGCTCAGATAAAAAAAAAATTAAATGACAATAATTTTCCCAGGTGATGATGCAGAGGAAGCAGAAGACGGAGAAAATGATGTGAATCCCTTTGCTTCCCTCAACGAGGAACTGTACTTGGATGATCCTAAGAAGACCCTCAGAGGCTGGTATGAACGGGAAGGGTATGACCTTCCAGAATATGAAACAGATGACATCAGCCCCGGATATTACAGATGTAAACTGGAGTGAGTGAAATGCATATTTTAATTATCCATGTTTTGTGCACTGACATCCTAAACTTTTTGAATTGCATGTCTTCACTGGTATGTAACGATGTCTGGAGTTTAGTGAGAATGGATCAAAGTCTTTGATTGATTAGGTTGTTGTTTTTTTTTACCCCAATGCCACTAGGGATGCCATATGTCATATGCCATGCCATGCATACACTGCACACTAGCTATGTTTGGCCACACCATGTCCTGCAACTACATCCTGTTCAGTTGACAGCAGGCATATCTCACAACTCATTGCTGAGCCTTGATTGCTCTACAACAAACACATTACAGTTCACCTATTGGACCACTATTATTCTTGACTTCATGGTATTTCCCCAGCTTATGAACAGCCAGGCTCTGGGACCTGTGGTGCTAGTAGTCATAATAGTAGCGATAGTTATAATGAAAATGATAAGTAGAATAAAATAGAATAAGAGAGGAAAAAAATACAGCCCACCAGGTAGCCCAAAAATAAAAATGAAAAAGTATCAAGTAGAATGTCCTTTTACAACAAGCATCAGAGATAGCATTATGTTGCCACCCTTTAGGTTACCTGTTCCGGGGCCGGGAGGAGCACCCATGGTGGCAGTTGCAGAACACCGAGGAAAGAAGAAGGAAGTTGTGGTGCAGTGTGCTTTGGAGGCATGCAGACTTCTGGATAGGATTGGTATTTTGAGACAAGCTAAACATGGTGAGTTTTTTTTCTGTCTTCCTTTTGTTCTTGTTATTTTATTATTGTTGTTTGTATCTGAATATAGAATGATAGGCATGGATATAAATGTATAATGTATATATAAATTTTTCTTTGATATTTTGCTTGTACTGTACTGTTGCTCATTTTTGTCCATGGGAGGAAAAGGATGAATATTTGGAAAACTTAAAATAAAACATTTTTTCTGTATCTTTTTAAAATGAATCTTCTATTTTTGAAAGACAAATAAGAAGAGGTAAGATGAAATTATCCAGCCATTAGTCCAGATGATGATAAAGATAAAGACAGTTCAATAAGGAGCTAATATTTTGGTCGTATGACAACACTTTTTGAATAATGTGGAGGCAAAATATATTGACACTTGTTTCTTTGGTCTTCATAGACTAAAAGCTTCAATGTAATGAGAAGCTGTAATTTTCTGTCAAGCATCCTGAACTTTCTCTTGTTGCACAGAATTAGAAGAGGTGCCACTTGTGATAAAGTATTATAATGATATACCAGTGAAAGTAGGATATTTTTTTAACTCTTTGTGCAGGGATGGCATGACATATGTGTTCTGTCCACTGTGATTTTAACTTATTAATTGCGTTTACACAGAGATGACTCCACAAGTACTTTGTCAGCAACAAGTCAACCTGTTTCACTTGTTTACTATTTTCCTAGATTTTAATTTTATTGATTTAAGTATTCTAATAACATTATAATATTCATAATGCATATTTTTAGTTACAATGCCAAATATCTCAGTAAGGTTTTCAATCAATGCAAATTTTGGTTACGCACTTAGAGAAATTTTATTAAAATGCGAAATCTTATTGATTTGGATATGTGAATTTCGCTACCTTTTTCTCCCCATATATTTTGAAACCAGAAGAAAATTCTCTTTTTCATGTGGGTAGATTTTTCAATGGGAAGCTAAAGGAAATGTTTAAAAAAAAAGGAAAAAGAAAATGGTACAAAACAAACATATAAAAGAAAAGAGAATTGGAAATTCCTCCACCAATTTGGTCCCAAAAGATGCAGATTATGTTAATACATTTACCTAATTTCCCATAAAAAGTTGTTAGTTGTTCTCTTTTTGGGGGAAATTTAATATGCGAACTCTCAGATGTGAGTAAAAGAATATCAAAAACATGAATAAGATGAAATACAGAAAAGTAAGATATCCAAATTGGAATATAAGATATGTTGCTGATACCAAAGAAAGGGCAAAAATATGGTATGGAAAGCACAACTCCAAAAAATGGAAATAACCCCACACGCACAAAAATTCAAAATACCAAAGAAAAAAATATATATAACACTCTGCTTCATACCGTCTACAGAGAGCCATGAGCGCAAGAGGCGAGACTGGGCGGAAAATGACTATTACGACTCTGACGAGGACAACTTCCTAGACCGGACGGGCGATGTGGAGCGGAAGCGGCTGAAGCGGATGAAACACGACGGCGGAAAGGAGGGTGGATCAGCCGAGACTTACGACTCCTTGGTGGGTTATTGCCCCCTTTTGTGAAGTCTGTTTATTTGTTTATTTATTTATTTATTTATTTTATTTTATCATTTTTGTTTGTGTCTTACATTTTATTAGTTTTTTTCTTTGTATTTTTTCTCTCACATTTTTTTTTATTCTCTTATTCTCTCTGTTGTCGTTTACTTTTATATTTTTATTTTCGGCTTCTTTTTCTTTCTTTTGTTATACTTTTTCTATGTTTTCATTCTTACTTTTTTTTTTTTTATATACTAACTGTTATAAAATTCACTCAGAATTGTGTTCCTTTCATCTTCCTATGTCTGCCTGTATAACTATCTATCAGTTTATTCTTCTATTAAGATATATATATAAATGGAATCATTTATATACCTCTGTTCTGACTTGAAATTTACTACTTGGCACTCCTAATGTGTGGACCTCTGGTTTCAACTCTTGTATCTGAGGCACAGATATTGGCATGTATTGCATATACAAGATTTGAATTTAGTGGTTGACACATTGGCAGTGCTTTGATGAGATTGAAAGTAGGAGCAACTGTATATGCTTTCATATATTGATACTTAAATAGATACATTGTTAAATGCATACAATCTTACATGTCTATTTTCTGTCAACCATCTGCATGCACATACGCACATTGGTTCCAGATAATCTTCCTGTATTTCTCTCACTATTCTTGATACATCAGAACCTTCCTCTTAAGAGTAATTTTGGACTCCCCATTCCAGCTCACAAAATACAATGGAGTAATAGATGAGCTCTCATCGCTGGAGGAGAAACTGGACGAAGCTGAACGCCTGAAGCAGGAGGCAGACGCAGAAGAGGAGGATGACCTTGATTCCTTCATGCAGAAACTAAAGACACAGGTGCCCGACAAACACAAGAGAGTCACATGGAAGGTAAATTAGTCTAGGAGGCTTTGTTCCTTTCAAGATGTTTTGTATTTTAAGTTTCCATTGGAACAGATGAAATTAGATATATGCAAACGTATATACCAGTATTTATATATACTATAAATAAAGATGTTTATATATATACACACCTAACTGATTTTGTATACTGTGTATGTCTGCTATATATCACAATCATTTCCAGCTACGAGCCATTGAATTAAGAAAAGAGGAGCTGAGACTGAGAAGACTGACAAATGTTGCAAGGCCACTTGGGGTTCCAGAAATAAAGCCTTATATCTCAAAGCTCGGTATGACATTAGTAATGAAGTATAGATATTTTCTTATTTGTTTGTTCATTAATATTCATTTTTTTTTCATTATCGCCATTATTGTTATTATTATTACTATCATAGATTCTAATTTTTTCTAGCTTTTGTTCATAGATTACAAAGACTATAAATGTAATACACATTTGCAAAAGATTCTAAAGGTAGCCATTTGTTATTGTTTCATTATATGCCACTTTAACCTTTAATGAGTGTAGGAAGATTCTCAGCTCTGTGTAACCTACTAAATACTGCTTCAGAATCTCAGTTGTCTCAAGAAATCTTGTGATGCAGTTTACTTTCTACCAAGCTAAAATGTGAACAATCCTTTTACAGGGGATCAAAGTAACAGTCAAAAGGCACCAACTGATGCTCTGAGAAAAAAACAAATGATGTTGAAAAAAGCTGCCTTCTTCACAAAACCACAGCCTAAAGTATGTATTTTCTGAATGATTTTTTGCTGTAGTGTACAATTACTAGTAGCTGCATGACATTCAAGTAAAGAAATTCAGTTCTTTGACAGATTCAAAGAATATTACTGTTGTTTTATCAATTTTGTTTATAAAGATGGCTCCAGTGATGCTAAATCACCAAAGAGTCAATTAATGAGCTACCTGACCTCACCTATTTACTGCAGTCCTTGGATTCCTATAGTATCAGAATATATTACTGTTGACAATATAACATTGTTATTAATAAGGGTACTAGAAATAAAAAGTTTTATTTTCCAAAATATTCAAGGAATGGAGAAAATATGTAAGATTAGAAAAGTTTAATAAACGACTCTCTGGTGAATATATGCTTGGAAAGCTGTCTATTTGTAGCTCTATTAATAAAAAAAACTACAGTGAGCAGTGTAGATACCTGGATCCAGTAGATCAGTATGGATCAAACTAAGTGGTAATCTTTTATATGATGAACTTAACACAATGCTGCTGGGGGTAGTATATAAGTGCATGTCATGTCAACTGTGAGTTCAATTTATTTATTTTCTTTATACATAGATGGGTCCACAAGTACTAAGTCACCTATGAGCCAATTATGAGTACTACATATCTCACTTGTTTACCCTTTTCTTTGATTTTTGGAAATATTTTCCTTGATCTTATATTGCTGCTAGTATTGTTAATAACATAGTGATTATAATGTCTATAATAATAACAAGAGCATTGATATTGATAGCATTAGTAAAACAAAACATTCCCCTCAAATTTAAGGAAAGGTGAAATCAGGTGAGATCTAAAGATCTACTAATGAATCCTTGTGGCTATACACTTGTGGATCCACTATGTGCAGACATTTCACAAAACAATATTACAGTGAAAACTACATTTTCCTGGCAACATTTGAGTTAATTTTCAACTTTAGACAACCTTATTTTCTAAGACATTTTTGTTTTTGACACCGCAAACCTAAGTTAAGCATATGATGTATATAAGTAATATTTCATCATTATTTAATTCATGTTCAACATTTTTTAAAGGAACCAACCTTCCAAGTGCACAAGGCTTTCCTGGAAGAAGAGCCAGAAAAGAAGCTGAAACTGAAGAGATTAGATGACGATGATGATGAGCCACCTCCACCTCCTCGACCGATGTCCAAACCGAAGCCCAAAGTTGCCAGGCCGCCCAGGGAAGACATTAGAGCCCCTGAAATACCAAGAACTAATGTAACCATAAAACAGGAAGAAAAATTGCCAGTGCCCTCTACAGAACCTGTTACTGACCACAGTGAAAATGGAAAATTTGTAGTACCACAGACTGAAAGTGTTAGGGGCTGCATGTTGCCACCTCCTGCAAAAGGGCCACAGGTACCAAAGTCAAGTGAAAGTAAGGCTAGCCAAGATGTTAGTGTCAGTGAAAGTGAAAGGATAACTGACACAGCCAAGAGTGATTCCAGCGAGTCAGAGAAAAACCTTCCACTCCAGGATTCAAAGGGTAAAATTGCAACACAGAGCAACATGAAAGGGGACACTCCTCCCGAGAAGAAGCAGAGAACAATGGGTCCCACTTTGCCTCCCACTTTGGAGCTTGTGAGAGCTGCTCAGCAGGTAAGAGGTTGAAATTGTATTAAGAGAAGACATATTAATTTTTAGAAAAGTAAGGAGAGTTTTGAAAAGCTTTATATCAAATAATTGTGCACTTTTGGTAGGGAGATCATCAAATTCTCACTTGTATCAGAGAAACAAGATTTCATGATTTGAATGACCTGAACTATTATTAATTCGCATTTTCTTTATTCATTTGGTATTATTTCTTCTTGTTTTGCATACACAGTAACTGACTTATGATTTGATTGTTATAAGTCTATTATTACTATCACACTTGTTTAATTTTCCCAGGAGCCCAAAAAGCCTAAGAAAAAACGTGAAAGGAAATACCCAAAGTTCGATGAAGATACTCCACACTATGACAATTGGGTCCCTCCAGCTCGGCAAACAGGTGATGGCCGCACAAGCCTTAATGACAAGCTTGGATACTAATGAAAAAAGGACTTTGAATCTCTTCTGTGAATAGTACAAGGACTATTTAGAGATGGTGGATTCGGTGATATGATATAGTTTACTTATAGTATGAGGTGCTAATGCAGAAATATGGAAAATTTGGAAGCAAGTTAGTGTAAGATGATAAAGCAAATAGCTACTTGGAAAAATATTCAAACTGTTAACTGCCTGGTATGTGCAGTTTTGTTTTATTGTTACTATTTTCTTTGTTTTCACTTTATGTTTTACCAGTTTTAAGGGATTGACAAGTGGATGTAATTCTTGTGCATAATTTTGTTTCCTTTTAATAAATGATTAAGGTTTAGCCGTCATTATACCATGTGATAATGTGAAATAAGGTAATTGCAGATGAAAGTGTCAACATGCTTTCTATTTTTGCTGTCACAATGTAATGCTGTGTATCAATTAATTTTCTCCAGAAAGGCTTTTAAACGTATATTTTTGTGGGAGGGAAGAAATGCGGGCAGGAGATGCATTGCTAATAATAATAGCAATACACTTATATATGTTGTATTAAAAAAAATTCTGTCACCCAGTCCATTGTGTAGTAAATAATAAAAGATATTTTCTAAAAAAACATTGTCTTCTTGTAGGAGTAATCTTCTATGTGCTATGATACAGAGGTGAGTCTGTGAACAATAAATTTTCAATATTATCTAGTTGTGGATCATCTATTTCTTAACAAATGGACAATGAGGATGGTATGAATGCACACATCATACCCTCTGTGAATTTAGTTTATCAATTTCATTTAAACATACCTTTTTTGAATTTACTTTTTTGAAATTAATTTTCATTAAATGTAGATGGCTCCACATGCTCTTATATACCAAGGAATCAACCACTAGTCCTACCTATCTCACCTACTTACACATTTCCCTTGATTTTTGGAAATATTCTTTATTATTTCTTATTGCTGTTAATATTGTAAATAATCATAATGTCAGTAATAATAATGACAACATTGATATTTATAGCCTTAGGAAAAAAAACCTAGACTAAAGTGAATATTACAAGTGGCATGGCTTAATGAGAGAATATTATTTCTGGCAAGTTGTTGTATCCATTTAACAGACTATCTATTCGTAGAAGGATCTTAAGTAATTGATAATTATTAATTGGAGAATTTATAACCTTTAATCCAAAGTCTTGTGATTTTTAAATACAAGGATTTTGTCATTGATCTGTTCACATGAGAAGTAATGAGTACTTGCAAGTATGAACATCAACAAATCTACGGAGAAATAATTTTTATCATCATGTTCTGAGATTAATGGAAATACTTTATGTATATAAATTTATTCAGGCCATCTGATTCTAAATAATATTGGTAATTTCCAATTTATTAAAGTGCAGTGTTAGAAGATTAATAATCTAAATCTATTTTTTTTATGTTTTGCTGAATGAAAGGCAGGTTTCAAGAAAACTGTGAACAGAATCAGTAAATATTGAGAAATGTAGATTTTTTATTCAATGGGGAAAATACAGTGTTGCATACATACAGTATATCTAATTCTAATAAATTTTGTAATCCTGTTACTAGTTGCTTTGGTTAGTTTATTTTTTGCATCACTGAAGTTATCTTTAGCCCTCTGAGTTCTGTAGTCCATTTTCGGAGAGGCTGGTCCCTCGAGCCTGAGTGTCTACGAAGCACACGCACATACTCACAAAAACAAACAAACACACACACTCACACAAACAAACAAACACACAAACAAACAAACAAACACACACTCACACAAACAAACAAACACACACAAACAAACATACACACACACACACATAAACACACACACACACACACGGAGAGAGAGTTAGTGGATACGAAACTGAACGAGCTCTGAGCTAGTCTGACAATTGGTGGTCTACATATTTCACTCTAAACAGAAGAAGAATAAAAACAAACCTTCTTCTTACTCCAATCCTCCCCCCTCCCCCTGCAACCAACAGCTCCCACTCCCTCCCTCCACTCCCTTCTACTCTTTCGTACTCCACGTGACAAGGCGTGCGGAATGGCCAGACAGAGGGAGTGTGGGCGAAAACGGGACATTTTTGGCGCAACTGCACTTGGTCGTAAACTAAGATTAATCTAACATCGCTGAATTGCTCAGATCAACAACTTTTAATCTTTTGATTACCGACAAACGTACAGTGAAACAATAGTTTGGAGTTTTGATGTTCAACCAAATTCACACTGTATCAGTTTTCCTGTGTAATATGACTATTAACAATATTTACACGGCTAAATCATTTTGAATTTCTATATAAGTACTTGTATATCACAGCAGTTTTATTTACAAAGCAGTTTCCGCTTTGTCTCTTTTGATTTTGCATCCAGCCATAATTCCACCCCGCCTCCCCCAGTCAATTGGGAATATTATTTGCACCTTCAGGCATGTTAACTTAGTCAATCTAATACTCTAGTGGAACGTTCTATATTGTTAAAAAAATGAATGTCTGCTCACTATCCATGTAGTTTTTGGGGTCAGCTGCAACGGTGTTCCAAATTTTGCACTAAGAAGGATTGTATTACATTTCCAGTGTTTTACTACAGTCTCTACTGCTGGTGTTCTCCTAATCCTGGGGGTTGTCTCAACAGGCGACTGGAAGAATCGAAATTGAAAATAAAGATCTTTAAATTTTTCCCAACTCTTTGAAGAGTGGAGCGGTTTGCAGTAGATCTTGTAATGCAGTGGTTCTTTATGCCACAATACCCCAAAGTTCAATATAAAGGCAACCTGATATACTCTCTACAATGCTGATCACTCTGACCAGTGTTGCCATTCTAGCTATTTTCCCGCCAAATCTAACGAGTATCGATTCCTGCTAGCGGGAAATCTGGCATGTGTAGAACGCTATCTGTCGATTTCCTGGCAATTTCATTTCACAGAGACAATGGACTCGGCACATATGACGGCCACTTGCACTTGCGGAAAGATGTCCAAAGTGCATAAATTCTTTGAATCTAAAGGTTGGAGACCTTACACTGCTCGTCATGTCACAAATTCAGAAAATAGTTCTGACATCAAATGTTGATCCTTTCCAGGGTTACATTGAGGATTGCCCTGATCCAAAACCATACCTGGGATATCAGTTCGATAAGGAACTAGATATGCTTAAAGTGACTTTCATGTTGGTCAACAAAATGCACTGAGATGCGTTCAGCGTCTGACCACTTTGGTGCAAGAAATGCGACGAAGAGTGCCCGCTAACGCTAAAATATTTCAGAAAATTTCCCTGCTTTTTGCCAACTAAGCACTTCATTGCATAAAAGAGCCATTAACTCCCTTACTGGAACTGTTGAAAGTTCCCCCATGTGATACTGACATCACTGAAAACCAGTCGAGGAGCCTGGCATTAGTCAAACGGAATGTAGTTACCAGGACTGAGATCGACAGCTATAGAGATGCATCTGGTTGTAAACCATTCAAAGAGCAGCTGCATTTGCGATGTCCGTACTTACTTTACACACTCAAATGCGGAAGCAGAGCAACAAACATATTTGGCCAGTGAAATATTGTGAAAAGTAAACTCCGAAACAAAATGGAAACTAAAATGGCCAATGCAATTCTGGCAGTGCGTGCAGAATTAAGAAGAAACGAAAAATCGAGCTTCAGTTACGGAATACCACCCAATGTTGCAAGCATATTTGGTATATCAGAAACCTACAGTGGCGAAAATATGCACTCACCAGTACCAGGAAGATGGTGGTGATGCATCAGACTTGCGGATTGTTATGAATATGTAATAGTTGCGTAATGGAAATATTATTTTATAACTAGTTTGACTTGTTAAACAAAATATACGTAGTTGAACAGATTTAGGGGTAAATATGTACAGCTTACTCCTAAATTCAGTATCTCTCTCAAACAATAACATTAATTACAGATCCGAACGTTACGGCTCATCAGGGAGTGGACAAAAGTGACCTTCACTCAACGCAGCCGTGACGCTAACTGGTCGAGTCAGTTTACCGGAATCGTTAAACAGCTATCCTGATTCTCCCTCGTATACGTCGGTGTATAAGACTGAAATTCCCCCACACCATGGCTGAAATTTCCCCTGCCCTGAGAAATTCCCCCTAATCGTATGGTTCGGCAGGATAGAGTCCCGGAAACTGCTTTCGCGACGCACATTGATAGTATTGGGGGGTGGGGGGGAGGTCGGACAGGGGGGGAACAGGGTACTACTGGTGCTATAGAAGGCGGTTGCTGTTCTACATGATGAAAAGATAACTTGAATAGTAATGATGATAACAACAACAACGACACTAGCAACGGTAATATGATGATTATAATGATGATCATGATAATAATGAAATCATTATAAATGATAATTGATAATGATAATAGCAATGATGATAATAATGATAATAGTAATGATGATAATAATGATAATGATAATAGCAATGAGGATAATGAAAATGATAATAATAATAAAGGTAATGATATCAATAATAATAAATCATCACCATCATTATCATCTTCATCATCACCACCACCATCATCGTTATCATCACCATCATCACTATTATCATTACCATCATCGCCATCATTATCTTCATAACCACCATCACTATTATCATCACTATCACCGTCATCATCATCATTATCTTCATCACCACCATCACCATCACAATTATCATCATCATCAACACCACCACTATCATCGCCCTCTTCATCACCATCATCGTCATCTTCATCACCATTATCATCACCATCACCACCATCATCTTCATCACCACCATCACCATCATCGTCATCATCACCATCATCGTCATCATCACCATCATCGTCATCTTCATCACCATCATCGTCATCCCCATCATCATCACCATCATCATCACCACTGTCAGTATCAATAATATACCTTAACTATTATCATTATCCACATGCACCGTTAAGTATTATAAAAATGATTAAAAAAATATCTTCAATTTCCATGGGAGGGACGCAGTTATTATCAATTATATTTAAAAAAAATGTTAATCCTATGAAATTGAAATTACAAATAATTTGTTTTTTCCTCCCTGAAACACGTGCATTTTTATCCACTTATCATTTGAAACTCTGACATCCTCTTTGAAAATACTAATTGGGGGGGATATGGAAGCCAAAGCAATCACACACACACACACACACACACACACACACACACACACACACACACACACACACACACACACACACACACACACACACACATACACACACACATATATATGTACATATTCTGTCATGCAATTATGAGAAAAAAAATGTGAGGAAAGAAAAAACGTGATTTTAGTGATTTTTTGTGTGTAATTTGATACAGTGATGGTGAAAAACATTCATGGTAATCACATTGAAAAATATACACACTAATTTCTTTTCCCAATAAGAATATAAAAAATACGAGGCTAATTTTGTATCTTCAACACATTTCAGGTTAATGGATAAATACGTTTTAAATCTGTTTTCTTCATATGTCAGTCTGTCTCTGTCTGTGCCTGTCTATCTGTCTCTCTTACACACGCACACACACACACACACACACACACACACACACACACACACACACACACACACACACACACAC